GGTTTTGGCACTGAATGACACAGAGGGAGGCCTTGCCCTCCTGGAGTGGGCCTTTGCACCTGAAAGACTCAAACCAGTTAGGTGGTAGGAAAGGGCTTTTGAAGGGAAAAAATGGTAAGATGGAATGGGGCATGGGTGACTACAATTTTTAACAGAATGGAAAAGAAAACTCTTACTGACCAGATGACACACTCTTCAAATGCTGTGGTAAGAGCGGCGTCCAGTGTTTGCTCTGCAGAGAGCTGCTGAGAAGAGTGGGCGCCGGGAGGAGCCAGACTGCAGCCGTGAGAGTCGCCCTTGAGAGGAAAGGGCTAGGTTTGGTCTAAGGAGGGAGGTGGTTCTCCGAGAGCTGTAGGCTTTGGTCCTAGTGACCAGGTAGGACTCAGGGAATGGCTCTGCTTGTGTGCCTTCATTTAGCATTTGGGTGGCAAGGGGTGTGTGTGGTTCACGGTGTCACAGATAGCATACACACTGCCACCTGTAATACGGCCTGTGATGGGCCCGGACTTCCTGCATCTAACATGGAGGCAGGGTCCCCTCCTGGTCTTCATTGGGAAGACAATTCATTATAAAAAGCATTACAATGAAAATCTCAAACCTAAAAACAGTACTTACCCATACCTGTATGTAGACAGGTCTGGACGTACTTACTAAAGAAAGTCAAAGACTATGTATCCTTCATTATGAATTATACTTCAGACTAAAGACAACAAAACTTATGAGGAGTTCTGACTGGTCCAGTAAACAGCAGCATAGTAAATAAAGAATAAAGTTGTAAATTGGATCCATAATCAGCACACATGGAAACAGCAGTCAAGAAATCAATTAATTTAGAATAGGGGAAGTCTGCTTCTAGATTTTTTTTTTTTTTTTTAAATTTTGTGTGTACAGTCAAATCAGATCTGATTGGTACAGGAGGAGATTGCCCCTCCTTCTCCAGCAGAGCATCTGGTGGATTCGAACCAGGGAGGTCTACTTTAAAGTACTAAAGAGCAAGTATGTCAGTTTGAAGTCCAGGGTGCCCCTGACTCAGTTGCCTCATCTGCATTTAACAATTGACAAAGAATAGGGAAGATGCCGGAATTGATGCCTTTGAATTGTGCTGTTTGTGAAGAATATTATTGACTACACCATGGAGTACCAGATGAAAACATATTAACCTGTTTGGGAAGAAAATGCAGCAAGAGTGCTCGTTTTAACCAAGGCTCATCAGACTTCACCTCATTTACATTGGACTTGATATCAAGAGGGGCTAGTCGCTGGAAAAGCAGAGGCCCAGCAAAAAAGATGGACACTCATTGAGATGGATTGACACGGTAATCGCATTGCAGAGATGGTGTGGCTGGCTCAGGATCAGACAGGGGGCTTTCAGTCTGTTGTGCATAGCAAGTCAGAGCTGACTTGAGTAACACTTCACTCTGAATTGGCAGGAAGTCAAAACTGACTTGTAGCTGGCCCTCTACTGGGTTTCTTTTTTTATTGATATTTTAATGAAGGTTTACAGAAAACTTGGATTTCCACTCAATCATTGTTGCACATGTTCTTACCTACCCATCTCCAGTCCATTTTGCTATGCAACTCTTATTCTGCACTATTGTCATGCAGATAATACCTAATCATTTAGCCCTTTTAAACCGTTCTTTACTTAATCTGTTTAAATGCACTGTTCATTACTTATCCCCTCTCTTCTTAGTTTTCCCCAAGTCCGCATGTCTGCCCTGTTCTATAATAGTGGCATTATGCAGTATTTGTCCTTTTGTGATTAAGAGATTTCACTCAGCATAATGTCCTCCAAGGTCACCTATTTTGAATAGTATTTTGAGTTGCTTGGTTTTCAGTGCTGCGTAGTATTCCATTGTGTGGATATACCACAGCTTCTCTATCCGTTCACTTGTTGATGGGCTCCACTGGGTTTCCGAGGCTGCAAATTGCAAGGGAGGAGATGGCCTGTCTGTCTCCTGCAGAGCTGCTGGTGGATGTGAACCACCAGAGAGGTTTGCTCTTTGCATTAACTGTGCAACTCTCTATGGACTGTCATCAGAGCTCCCTGTCAGTAGCGACAATACTCATATCCAGTGCCAAGAACTGTCTGTTGATTAGGCTTAGTTCATGTGTAAACATCAAAGAAAAAAATTTTAGTTGGAATTTTTTATAAATGCCAAAAAGGAAAAACCCAAAAGCCATTGATTGTGACAGGATCAGTTCCCACTCAGCCCAGTGGGGCTTCCAGGGCTGTAATATTTGCAGGCGCACACTGCCCTGTCCTACTCCTGTGGAACAGGCAGTGGGTGCAGCCTGCCACCCTTTCCATTAATAGCCTAGTGCTTGGGTACTCACCTCCAGAGGCTGTCCCTCAGTGGGGAACCTGCCAGCTCCTGTGTCTGGAACTGACTCTTAGTGTTCAGACTCTGCATAGCCCTCCTTTTCCCCTCCTCTTCCTTTTGTATCTTCATTGCACAGAGACTGTAAGGATCATTGAAGGCTGTGCTGGTTAACAACATCCCATTAATGTGGAAGACCATGTGGGTTAGGAGGTGCTTTACTTCAAAATGTGTCTTCACATTTAACCCAACCCAATTAGCAACCGTCTACTGGGGTGTGTAAGAGTTCTCAGGCAGAAGCCTGTTCATCATGCAGGTTGGACACTGGTGTGTCCCATGGGGCATCCTGCCCCTTCTCTGCCTCCTCTTAGCACACATCCAATGCACAGTCAAAAAGAGCCGGCCCTGCGTGCCATGGCTGAGCACACCCACTGGTAGAGGGGCCTCACAGGGACCTGTGCCTTTGGCGTGCTGACTGTGCTGCTGGCCCGTGGGGCCCCTCTCGGCGGTCTTGTTAGAGCATGCAGTACCTTTCAGTCAGTGGTGATCTCACTGTTTTCTGGGTGTTGGTGTCTGGGAGTGAGACTGCTGAGTGTTTTCAGTTGAAATTGGGAAATGTAAATTATGTTCGGTAATTTGGTACAAAATATAAATGTCCCCATGAGAACAATAGGGCGAGCGGCCAAAAATGGAGATCATTTGTAAATTGTTGTTGTGTGTCCTGTCCATGAGAGTAGGACATACATGTGTTCCTTGGGTGTCTGCATACCCACCAAGTGAGCCAAGTTTAAGGTCTCAGGTTCAGTTAAAGGTTTGGGCCTGGCAGAGCCCTCAAACTGCTGCATTCTTTTGGGAAGTTCTGATTTCCTCTTTCCTTCTAGGGTCAGAACTTCTCTTTTTCTGAGACACTGTTAAGGCTGGCCACACAGAGCAAACAGAAGCCACACTTGCCTGGTTACGACTAAATTGGCACGTGTGTCTGTGTTACTCCCTTCCCCAGAAGTCAGGGGTCCACTAAGAGGCCATAACAGTAGTCAGTCTGATGGATAAGCGTGATGGTAATAAAAGGAGCAGGACTGCCAGTGTGGCCTCACCCCTCAGCCAAGCCCATCCAGTGGGTGGTGGGGTGATGACGTGAGGCATTACTGCCTCCTGGTTATGTAGCTAGGAAAGGAGAGGAATGGGGCTGTGCCCCACAGCGAACTTGATCACTCATGGTGTGTCTGCTCTGTTCTGTGCATCAAGTTCTAGCTTATTGTGCAACAATGAATGAATGAAAACCTCAAATCTCTGTAAATGTTCATTAAAATTAATAAAATTTTAAAAAAAGTTCTAGCTTAAAACTTTTCTTGACCTTTGATTTAGCTCTTACAAAACACTCAAGAATGTTTTAGCAGGCTTGACTTTAGCGTTTTGACGTCATTGTAGCACCAGGGAGCACGGGCCTTCCCCAGTGAAGTGAAGTGAGTCATAATGTGAAGGGGCTGAGTGTGTCGTCACGCAGGATGGTGGATCTCTCAGCTCTAGACCTGCATGGACATCAGCATGTGTGTATGGGCTTGTCATGTCTGTCCTGTGAGGATGGAGATGTCCAGTGTGATTCGGACAGGTGTGAGAGGGCTCCTGCTCCTTGGTACAGGCAGGACCAACTGGGACCCGAGTGGTGGCTGACAGGTGGCGTGGGAGAGTCGGGGTCTGGGTTTTGAGCCCACTGCTCACCAGCGTATGCATCACCTGCTTTCTTTGAACTGGCACTGGAGGAGTGTTGTGTGAAGTGTGACTTAGTTTCCTCCTGTTTGCTGGGTGGAGAGGTGTCCATCGCTGCCAGCAGGGCAGGCCCTTTCTGCACGTCTGTGCTCTGTGCATAGTTTAGAGAGCTCCACTGCCATCCAGTCACTTGTGCACCTGCCCATAGGGCTTCTGAGCTGTCCTCTGTGGAGCAGCGGAGAGTGCAAATCACTGGCCTTAGGAGCAGCTGGATTTGTAGACCGGTCTCTTCAAGATGGTTTGACACAGTGACTGCAGCAGTGTCAGAAAGGAGGAGATGGTGCGGGGTAGGATCAGGTGTGTTCCTAGATCGCTGTGAGTCGTACTCAGCGACATCCCAACAACAAAGTGTATGGTACAGTGGTGGTGGTCTAGTTGGTGTGCGACCATCACAACTGTTTCTTAGACTTCTATTACTCCAGACAGAAATGTGGCCCTTAATTAATCGTCACCTTTCCCTCTTCCTAGCTCTTTATAGCCACCAAAAAGCTTTGCTATCTTTGCCAGTAAACAGCAGCTCCTTGCCTTGAGTCAAACAATAGCTGACTCTCCAGCAGGTCTTCAGCGACAGTAAATCTCACAGGAGAGGACCCGTCTTTCTCCTGAAGAGATACTGAGGGATTCAAACTGTCTGCCTTTGGCTTGACAGCACAACTTCTTACTCACTAGGAGTGAGTCTTTGTGATGTGAAGCTTGCACACAAAGTGGATTACACAGAGCAGGTTTATCATTTGATGGGTTTTTATGGATGTAAACCCCCAGGTAACCCGCAATTTCAGTCAGATCTCCAGTCAGAGTCTCTTCCTTCCCCAAAACTTTCCCTGTGCCCCTTCTGCTCAGCCCAAACTTACACAGCTTGTCTGTGAATACTACACGAGCTAACTCTTTCACTCTTTTTTCATTTGTAGGGAATAAAAGCACTCAGATGGCAGATAACAGGTAAGCCAAAGCAGGTTTTCCTCATTGCAACTGGAGCAGAACCCAAGCGGGTTTCTGAATGTCCCACTTCGGCACTTTCTATTTCCTTGTTTACTGGTGCCCACGAGTCACTTTAGGTTTGTCTTTGTAACATGTGAAAAAAGGTTTCTCTGTTAGGGATCCTTAAGACATCTGTGGAAAGGGAGCTCTGGCAGCCTAGTGGCAAGAAGTTGCACTGTAATCCCAGAGGCACATGGTTCAAATCCACCAGATGCTCTGTTGGAGAAGGAGGGGCAATCTCCTCCTCTACCAGTTGGATCTGATTTGACAGTACACACACACAAAAAATAATAAAAAGTAAAATTAAAAAAAAAAGACATCTGTGGAAAGTCGTCTTATTCTAAAGCCGTAACGCCCCAGGGGATGGAGGTACAGCTTCATAGACCTGCCTCCTGTACAGAGCGTGGAGTGTTTGGGGCCGATTCTGCAGGTCAAGTGCAACAGCTGCCTAAAAGTAGAGTAGTTCTCTTTGCTTTTAGTTAGTTGTTTTGTTTGAAGGCTGGGAGTAGATTTTTGAAGAAAGGAATTGTAGAAAAAAAACCCAGAGAGTCTTTGATCAGGTTTGGAAGTGAAAGCTACATGTGGTGGGCTTGGGGGTGGGTGTGTGTGTGTGTGCGCGCGCGCAAGTGGTTGTCAGCAACACAGAACATCTCTCCAGTAAGCTCCATGCACAGTATTGAACACATCCAAAGCATAGTTTTTTTTAAAAAAAAAACTGACTTGCTCTTTATTGTGATAATTCTAAAATAGTTGTTTTAGTTCTTCAGATGGGGTTCCTTCAGATTCCTTGGAAGCTGTTAAAAATGCAAGTAATAAAGGTAAGTTCCCTGCACGAGGTAGAGGGAGGTTTACATGAAGACGTGGGGCTCCCACTTTTTGGATGTTTTTGTTACAGTGACAACAGTAACCCCACTGCTGGTCCTCTGGGTGGTTTCCAAGGCTGTAAATGTCATGGACAGGAAATTGACTCTGTCTCATGGAGCAGCTGATGGATTTGAACTGTTGACCTGTGGTTAGCAATCCCAATATTTAACCATTTGTGCCATGAGGCTTCCTCTACAAAAGCTTCAGGATTTTAGGAAAGTTCAAGCAATGTAAATTAGAACCAGTACTGCCTTTTTTTCCCCCCTTTTTTTTTAAGAGCCCAGTGGTTCCGTCTTACAGAGAATGGCTCAGAGAGCATTGTTCCCTGCCTGTCAGTCACCTTGGGTGCTTCTAAAGCCTACCCAGTTGTGTTTCATCTCTTAAACCCCTAGCCAGTTAGTCTGGAGCGAGTCCTGGTGCCACCTTGTCCTGCCCAGACCATCTGGAAGCAGCTTGTGGCCCCTGTGCCGCTCTCCTGAACACGGAGGTGAGCACTGCTGAGGCCATGTTCACAGTCTCTGGTCTCTCAGCATGGCCTTCAAAGCTGTACCGGGTCCCCTCCTCCCTGCAGCTTCCGTGTCTAGCACCTCCTTGGCTGGGTACTTTGTACAGTGGCTGCACACCTGGCCATTAACCCAGGAATCGAGATGGGCTGGCAGACGGCGCAGGTTTCTACATTGGTGATCTCAGTAATTGGCATGTGCTGAGTGTGTGTTACATCTTTCTGGCCTTGTTGTTTTACTCTTCCTAGAAAAACTCACAGATCAGGTGATGCAGAATCCTCAAGTTTTGGCAGCTTTACAGGAACGACTTGAAAACGTGTCTCACACGCCCTCAAGCTACATTGAGACGTAAGTACACTTCCATTGAGGCTGGGAAGAAACAGGGAACCCTTCTCTTCGGGCCCTAGGGTAGGGTCAGTGCAGTCTTAATTACAGACGATGGCATTGAGCAGAAGATGCGGTCCGCCGCCTGTGGACTGGACTGTGTGTGCCTGGGGGAAGGACAGAACAGAGGGTGTGGTTCTGTCCTGTAGTAGGAGGACTAAAGGCAAGAGGGGGATAAGGACCTGGCAGGGGGTGGTTACACAGCAGAACTGGTAGAGACACCCTTCCCTGGGACCTGCTGAGGTGGGTGGACTGTTGCTGGGTCAAGTGCCCCACCCCGTACCCTGATGCCACTGGCGGTGCCTCACCCCTAGTCCCTGCTTAGTGACTGCTTTCACGTAGTTACAGTGGGGAGGAGACACTTTGGAGTTGTTCTGTTCGTGTAGAAGTTCCGTGAGGAGTGCTCAGTGCAGTGTTCTGAGATTCCTGGAGCTGCTGCAGGGCTTCAGTGGTGAGGTCCGGGACTGCCTGCGTTGGTGGTGGCTTCTTATCTCTCTACCTTTACAGACCAGTGGGCTGTAGACTTTGATGGAGGAATAGCTCTTGGAAACATAACTGTCTTCTCCTCGCTCTTTCTGATTCAGAAATGTAGCATGTTCAAACTATATTGAATAAAGGGAAATACTGAAAGGTGGGGTGGCACCTCCCTCCTTTGTCGGGGTGTAAAGTACGGAATTCATTTTTCAGTTGTGTGATGAATTCGCAAAGTAGGCCCAGTGTCCATGTGTCCACCACCTTGCTGGAGCCTCCCTGTGTTGTCTTTTTTATGTCGTGGTCGTCGTCAGATGCTCCTCGGCTTGCCAGGTCTCGGTTCAGTACTTAAACTCTTGTGCAGAGCAGGTTTTGGGCAGGCTGCTCTAGGCCTTGTTTAAAAATACAGAAAACTTGTGGAGTGGACTTGGGAGAGGGATTGCATAACAATGAATTTTTCTTTTCCTTTTCAAGTAGAAGAGTGAATTGGGGGGCAGGGCGTGGGCAGGGAGAAAAGTGCAACAGTGAATGACTGGAAACCCTAAGTCTCTGTAAACTTTGATTAAAATTAATTTTAAAAAATCTTTTTTAATACAGAAAACTATTGAAAGGCACACTCGTACCTCACTGACTCCAGAAGGAAACAAATTTCACTCATGTTGTTTCTTCCCCAACCCCTTTAGTGCATGAAAAAAACATTGTCCCACGTGACTCCTAAGTAGGCTTTAAAACCTGACTGTGAAACACCATGCTTAATCCTCGCAACTATTGAATTGTTTTCCCATTTTTCACTTTAACAGGTAATACTTCAGGGAATATTCTACATAAGTATTTTATTTCTTTAGGATAAATCTTAAGCAGTAGAATTAGAAGATCCAAACAACATTCTGCCTTTGAAAACCTGCTGGAGGGTCCAGTTGCGGGTCACATTTTAGAGGTTCTTGTTTGCCCTCAAGAAAGATGAGTTGATAAAAATACTGCTATGCCTGCCGTCTATCCCAGTAACATGGAAGACAAGATACGTCTTATTTTAAGAATTTGTATTAATTCTGCAGCATGCTGTGAGCAGAAAAGGAAGGAGAGCCGTAATTGTCTTTTTGTGATTGACTTACGTCCTTCGGCATTAATTCTTTAATCATGCAACACTTGAATCAGTGTTGCATGATATTTCATTGGGTGACTGGACTGTACCATGTCCTAGCGTTTGTCCATTGGAGGTCACTTCGCCACCTATGCTACTGTAAGCATACGTGTTAGGAGGGGCTCCTCCTTGGAAAGGGCCATGCGCTTGTAAGGTGGAAAGGTCAGCTCGAGAGGAAGAGCCTCAGCCAGGTGACTTGGCACAGTGGCGGCGGCAGTGGATGCAGGTCTGTGAGCGTGAGGAGGAGGCCAGGGTTCACAGGCTCTGTGAGGCACGCTTGGCAGCTCCTAACAAGCAGCGCGAATGGGCTTATAGCCCTTTGTGCCACGGCTCTTTAGTTCATTCCTAACTTCATAAGGAAATGGATAGGCATCTCGTAGTGTTTTACAAGACTGAGCCTCCCTTTCTTGTCTGTTTTTTCTTTTGGGAACGGGCTTCTTAGCATCACACTGTCCTCGCACACTTCTTTTCCCTGTGAGCGGTTTGTCCTTAGTTGTTTTTTTTTTGTTAGTTTTTTTTTAAAATTTATTATTTTTGTGTGCATGTACCGTCAAATCAGATCTGACTGGTACAGGAGAAGATTGTCCCTCCTTTCCCGGCAGAGCATCTGGTGGATTTGAACCGTGAGCCTCTGGGATTGTAGTTGCAGCTCCTTACCACTAGGCCACCAGAGCTCCCCCCGCTTAGTTGTTTTTATGAGTTCTTTTTCGTAGTTAGCCTAAATTCATCATTATGCGATTAAAAATTGAGTTGTCTTACTACATAGGATGGTGTGTCTGTTCCCTTGTGTAGTTTACCCAAAGCCGTGAAGCGGAGAATCAACGCCCTGAAGCAGCTTCAGGTGAAGTGTGCGCACATAGAAGCCCAGTTCTACGAGGAGGTCCATGACCTGGAAAGGAAGTATGCGGCTTTGTACCAGCCTCTCTTTGACAAGGTAGGCCGCTCCCCCCAGGTGCGGGTTCACCTGGGACCTTCAGGGCTTGCTTTTGCCCCTCATGGTTCTCTATAGTTGAGTGACAGTTTACAGAGCAAATTGATGTCCCATTCAACATCTGTTTTGGACTTGGACTCCATTCCCATCAACAGCACCTTCCTCACTTCATCCTGGTGTTTCCTCTCTCTGTTCTTCTTTCCTGTCGCTTCCATCTTCTGAACTGTATCTCTGGGCGGGTTCTGAGGAATGTGCTCCTCTTTAATATGATTGCATGAGGTTTGAGTCACAGGTGCTTAAGTCCAGTCTTAAAGCGTCTTCTAAGGGTTATGGTCTCAGGTTCCACCATCTCACTCACACCAGCAAGCCAGCTCTGTTAGGATTTTGCGTCTTGTTCCATATTGTTCACTATTTCAAAGATCCTCTTTGTGATCTTTTTCACAAGAATGGTGACTTGGCATCATCTTAAAACTTGGAATGTTAAAAACGAGTGCTAAGTTCACAGAGTCTTCATGCTTATTTACAGCTTGCCTTCTGAAGTTGGCATGCATCTGATGTGATTTCCTTTCTGCAGAGACGAGAGTTTGTCACTGGCGACGTGGAGCCCACAGATGCAGAGTCCGAGTGGCACAGTGAGAGCGAGGAGGAGGACAAACTGGCCGTAAGTCGCCTCTGTCCTTGTCATCTGTTCTCTGGTCCTGTTACGGGAAGTACTGCCCCAGGGTGGGCAGTCCTGGGTGGACTTGGCTAGGACACACTTGGCATGCTGCTGCTGCTTTGTCAAGGTGGGCACCTCAGAGGTCTCAGAGGAGTGATCGTGCACGGCCCCAGGCGGTCCTCTCATGCGGTGTCCAGCTCTGTGCGCCATGGTGAGTAGAGATAGGGGCAAGTGGGCAAAGATGCAGCCTTGGCAGCAGCCATAAGAAACAGTCCAGTCAAGAGCTTCCTGTCCTCTGTTGAGAGGACAGCGGTGGGTTGTCACTGAGAACATGGTGTTGGGCCTTCTGTGTCATCCTGCCGGGTGTCCTGTCGCAGTGAGGCAGGAGCTTTCCGGAATACTCGAAGGGGTAGTTTGTGATTGAACTGATGCGTGCTTGTGGTGATGTTTGCACTGCTCGTAACCTGTCAGCAGACGTTCCTGGTGATGGGTTCCATTCCAGTGCCACAGAAATTCCCAGAGTAATACAAGGTTGACAGAACTTGTCAGTCTGTTTTATGTTTGGGAAACAAATGTCTTTTATCCTGTAGCATTAAAATCTGTGTTGATCTTGGTAGCCATTTTTGTGTTAGAAGTTTCTAAAATGTGTTTACTCTACATACCATGACTCTGAATCAGTATGTTTGTGAAGAATCTTTTCTTGCTCCAGAAAAGCTGTTTTTGTTGGCCCAAAAAGCCCCTTTGTGACTGTTTAGTTACCAGCTCATTCAACAAAAGTCAGGATTTTGTATGATTTCCATGGCCACTGTGTTTCAGTCCCTGAAAGCAGCTGTTTGTTGGGCACTCTCCCTGCCAACGAGGTCCTGAACCTTGTGGGAGACTCTTACCACAGGATACACAAGTTCTACTACAAGCAAACACTTCTATAGCAACTTCCTTTCCCCTCAATTTCAACCAGAGATCAGATTCTTGTCTGACTGAGATTGTCCGTGGACACTTTTTTCTCACCTGAAGAGGAAATTTCTACATATTTGAAACTGCATTTCCCATGGCTGATAACCCTGTAAGAAATCAGTAAAAGGTAATAGGTAAACTTCTCCCTGTATGCACTTTCTTCAGCCAGGAACTGGGCATCCTTTCCCAGCTGAACTGACTGCACCATTTTGATTTCTCCTTTAATGTTGTTGTTGTCGAGTTGCTTGCAGTTCATAGCGACCCCAAGAACACCAGCTCTGAACTCGGCTCAGTCTTGGGCCAACCTCATTGTCTCCGAGACACCTACGCCCTTACCCAGTCGTCGCGTCAGTGCATCTCATCCGGAGTCACCCTCTCTTGAGCTCCTCCTCGACCCTGCCAAGCGTGATGTCCCTCCACAAGGCCTGGTCCCACCGTGCAGCATGCCCAGAGAGTTTCAGACGGAGCTTCAGAGTCCTTGCCTCCAAGGAGCAGCCTGATTTCACCCTCTCGGGGACAAACCTGTTTGTTCTCCTAGTGGTCCATGGTATAGTCAATAGTCTTCTTTAGCACCACAGCTCAAAGGCATCAGTTCTTCTGTCTTTAGTCATTGTCCAGCTTTCTGATGATGTATAGCAAGTAATTGTGAAGACCATGGCCTGGATCAGGCACAATTTAAGTCTATATGCTGACATTGTTGCTCTCCATTACTCTGGAGAGGTCTCTGAAAAGGAGATACTCCCAGTGTAATTCGTCTTTTGATTTCCTGGCTGCTGGTACCAGGAGTGTTGATTGTGGAACCGAGCAAACTGAAGCTGTTAATAGTCTCATTCTCTTCACCATATATCATGCTTCTGCCAGTCGGTGCAGTGGTGAGAATCTTTGCTGTCTTAATATAGATAGAGCTTCAGTCCATTTTGAAGGCTACAGTCCTTGATCTTCTGCAGCAAATGCGTTAGGTCCTACTTTATTTCAGCAAGCAAAGTAGTGTCATCTGCATAATGCAGGTTGTTGATGAGTCTTCCTCCAATCCTGATGCCACATTTCTCCTCTTAGAGCCCAGCCTTCCTTCCGGAAGAATGCAAAAGATCATCGCAGAGACAGAAGAGGAAGAAAAGACCAAAATGGACGTCAGAAGAGACTGAATATTGCACTAGAATGCCAAGAAGCCAAAGCAAAGGGAAGAAGTTAAGGCACTGAATAGAAGATTTTGAAGGGAAGACAAGACAAAATACTATAATTGAATTGCTGGAATCAGAAAATCAAAAGAGCCAATCTTGCTCAACTTTTCTTAAGCTGAAGAAACTGAAGAACAAATTCAAGCCATGTGTTGCAATACTTTAAGGAAGCTTTGGGCAGAATATTAAATGATCTAGGAAGCATTAAAAGAAGATGGAGTATACAGAGGTACTGTACCAAGAAGAATTGGCTGACACAGAAGAATTTCATGAAGCAACATAAGATCAAGAGCCTTTTGTGATGAAGGAAGGAATTGACAAAAAACAAGGCCCCAAGAATTGACAGCATACCTTTTGATGTATTTCTACGAACAGATGCTGCCCTGGATGCACTCCCCAAGTTGTGCCAAGAAATCTGGAGGACAGCTGACTGGAAGAGATCTATATTTGTTCCCATTCCAAAAAAAGGTGACCCAACAGAGTGTGGAAAGTATTGAACAGTATCATTAATATCACATGCAAGCAAGATCCTGCTGAAAATCATCCAAAAAAGACTGGAACAGCACATCAGCAGAGAACTACCAGATGTGTAAAGTGGGTTTAGAAGAGGTCATGGCACTAGGGATGTTGTCAATGTTAGATGAATCTTGACTAAAAGCACAGGGTTGTTGTTTCATGTGTTTCACTGTGACTATGCAAAGGCATTTGACAGAATCACAATAAACTGTGGCTAACTCTGAGAAGAATAGGAATCCCAGAACACTTGACTGTGCTTATTATGCAAATCGTATACTTCGGAAGGCTGAGCTCTTTGAGAGGGCACGTGGCATCAGGATTGTCACCTGCATTAAGCAGATGACACAACCCTGCTTGCTGAAACTGAGGAGGACCTGAAGCACTTGCTGTCAAGGACTGCAGCCTTCAACGTGGATTGAAACTCAACATCAAGAAAACAAAGATCCTCACCACTGGGCCAACTGGCAGCATCGTGATAAATGGTGACTAGGTTGAGATTGTTAACAGCTATAGTTTACTTGGCTCCATTATAAGCGTTCTTGGTACCAGCAGGCAAGAAATTAAAAGACTACTTACATTGGGAAAGTCTGCGGTCAGGGACATCTCCACAGGACTGGAGAGTAGTGATGTCAGTCTTGAGACTAAGGTATGCCTGATCCAGGCTGTGGTCTTTGGAATTACGTGCTATGCATCAGAAAGCTGGACAATGAGTAGGGATGATAGAAATATAATTGATGCCTTTGAGCTGTGGTGCTGGAGAAGGGTATTGAACTGCCAGGAGAACAAATAGGTTCATCCTGGAGAGGGTGAAATCAGGGTGTTAGTTGGAGGCAAGCAAGGACTCTGAAGCTCCCTCTGACGTACTTTGGGCTTGTTACAAGGAGAGATCAGTCCTTGGAGAGAGACATCATGCTCGGGAGGGTGGAGGGACAGCTCGGGAGGGGAAGGCCCTGGATGAGGTGGATTGGGCTGGGGTCATGGGGATGGATATGTGTGTCAAAGAAAGTATGATTGGTGCAGAGTTCAGAGCTCTTGTACTTAGGGTTGCAGGTTACTTGATGGCAGATAACAACATACTTGGACGAGGAGACACCACATGGCTCAAAATCAGAAAACGTGTACACCAGGGATGCATCCTGTCTCCCTTAAGAGTTGGGGGCTCACCCAGAAACAATTTTGAAAGTGAGATGTTTATGTGGTTTATGCTATGATTTTGTATCAACTTGCTTCTTCATGATAAATGTTCCATTTTACCTCCCCCCCCTTTGTTTTGTTAAGGGAGACATGAAAAATAAAGTCATCATAGCAGAGAAAGAAGCTGCAGCAGGAGAAGAGGCAAATCCCAAAGGAATTCCTGAGTTCTGGTTCACCATCTTCCGAAATGTAGATATGCTGAGTGAACTGGTACAGGTAATCCGCATTCACCTGGGACCCACGTCGTTTCTTCGGGGCTTTATCTGTGTTCTCCTTAACCAGGTACTGGGAGGGTCTTCCCAGGAGGGTGGGAGGTAAATCCCTGACCTCTGTCGTGGAGGACCGGCATCTCATCCCTCGTAATGATGTGGTCTGTGGCCTCCTCAAACCTCTCAGGCCTGTTGTTGGAGCACCCTTTATGTGACAAATGAGGAAGTAAGAGGACAGAGAGGAAGATGAGGAGGGGATTCCGCGTAAAGGCATGAGAAGTGTGTGTAGGTGCATGCGTGTACGTGTGCTTCTCTGCTAATTAGTTTTGAAATCCCGTGGGCCTGCCACGTGGCCTTGCAAGTCATGGAGATATGTGACATGTTGCCAGCACTTTTCTGATCTCATCCCTTTAAAAAGTCTCTTATTTTAAAGAAAAGGAGTAGCCATCTCAGTGTTTTCATCTGGCCCTGTTCACCGTGCACAGAGGGGCCACTTTAAAGGCAGCAAGTGTGACTTGGCCTGAAGTGACTGCTGCTCGAAGTTTCTGTATTGGAAGAAAATGTCCTGGGTTCAGTGGTTTTAGTCACTGTGCAGGGGGACACGTTTCCTGTTAGGCAGTCCTCAGCCGCGGTACGACAGCCCGGGGGTGTTTGCTCTGATCTGCCGAGATTCTGCAAGGGTGCTGCTGATTGTTTTCTGCCTGCTGGTCGGTTTAGAGCTAATGCTCTGTCCTGAACACGCACTTAGGGACTGTGTAAAGAACAATGGATTTCTTCTTAAAATGGAAGAAGCATCTAAAACTTAGTACTTAGTCCAACATCCGCTCTCCTCATCACTCACTCTCTGAAAAGGTGAGATTTAAGAAGACTTGGTGTTGTCTTTAAAGGAGGCTGTGAGGGTGAAATCACTTGGAGAGACTGAACCTTGGGTGGGCCAGGGTTCTTGAGGCCCACCCGACTCTTGAGGAGTGGTACCAACGTCGATGCCTGGGCCACATCAAGAAACCCTTGCTGACTTGGTCCGAGATCAGAGGACACTGGCAGCACTACTGCGTTTAAGAATGCTGGCAGCACATGTGCCTCTTAGCTGCGAGCCCATAGGAGGCTGTGCTACTGACCAAGTGCATCCAAACACTGCCCACTGTGGGTCGCTGACCACTCTGGGTCACACAGGGTCCCCTTTCCCAACATACCTTGGGCGAAGCTGACGTGGGTTTGATACTAGGAGTAGCAGGGCCCTGGGTGTTTGTCAAACTGCTTGATTCATGTTCCAGAGTCGGGGACCTGGTGGCTTGATGGGTAACCTTGCTGTTGGTCCTCAGGCCTGGCCACCCAGCCAACTGTTGGTGGTAGAGTAGGGGCAGTTGCTGCCGAGTGTACATACCACAGGGCCCTTGGTGGCCAGGGAGAAGTCACTGTGGTGTCTCCCTAACACTGAGTAACCTTGAGATTGTGCTCATGCCGTAAGGGTCTCCTTACCTTTTGTTGATGTGACACTTTGCGGTGGAACCTGCTTATTGAGTCCACGGAGAACTAGAGTGGTGTTTGTGCGTGGCAAATAATGGGAAGTGAGTTGCATTCTTGTCAGAGTTGCCTTTAGGATTTAAACTGCTCTGGTGGTTTGGGGTTTGTTTGTAAGTGCAGTCCAGGTACCTTCCTGCTAGTAGAGCTTTCATATGCTGGGTGTGGTATTGCGCTGTGAGCCTGGGAAGTTCTCTTCCCTCAAGGCTTGTGGCTGGTTGGTGAAGTTAAAATAGAATGGTGGTTCCAGTTTCTTGAAGACAGTATTTTGCGGTACTGCTGCCATGACTAAGATGAGTTTTAGGACGCTAGTGCAGCTTTTTGCGAAATAATCTGTGTGACAGTAGTTGACACAGCTTACAGCTGGTTATTTATCTCATTAGAACCATGCGCTCTTGGACTACAGAATTTAGGACTTTGATTTGACTTTTGTTCTAAAAGTGTCCTTTTTAGAATAAGTAAACATTTGATGTCTGGAGACTCAAATTTATTTGTTTTGTTTTAGAAGTCAGAGATTTTTGTTTTGTTTTATAATCCCTGAAGAACTTCAGTGAGGAAACTGACAGGTGTCAGACTGCTTCCTTAAAACTTAAGCTGCCTGCGAAGAGGGAAGCCCCCAAACGCCCAAGCCGTTTAAGTTGCATCTCCAGAAATGAACCCCTATAGCTGGGCTGTGTTTCCTTTGCTGGTTTTTCTCACCTTTGGTTGTGGACCCTTCAGTTGTAGCCAGTGGTTAGCTGACTTGGAGAGCAGTGCGCATTCCCCACCTTCACACAACAGCGGGTGGATCTGAACCTTGAGCCTTTGGGTTAGCAGCCAGCTCCTTACCACTAGGCCACCAGAGAGCTCACCTAGACTTTGAAAAAGCAGGTTTTGATGAAGGTTGATTGTAAATACTGGTCATGTGGTGAGCCTGTGGTCCTGGGTCCGAATTCCATCTCAGCCACGCTGTCCAGCTTGTTGGAAGAGTGTCTGACTGATATGTATCCTTTGGGTTTGGGGCCTCTCTTGCCGCATGAGGCTGGGGGGATTTCTAAACTGCGTACTCTAGTCTCTTCAGCAGTTCTGAATCTCTAGTTGTTAACTTGTCCCCCAGTATTCAGAGTGGGTGTGCATTGAAGAAGCTGCCATTGCTGGAACTCAGAAATTGGGCAGCTGACTCCACTTGCCACCACCTTTGAGGCTGGAGCTGGCCGGTGAATTTCCCTGGGTCCCAGGACTTCTTACATGGCATTGGTGGAGATAGAGCAACTGATAGTATCTCCAGCCGGAACTTGGCAGGTTGGGTTATCTTTAAAGCTTCTTTAAATGTTGTTTTTCTCCTCTGTTTAGGAATATGATGAGCCAATCTTGAAGCACCTGCAGGACATTAAAGTGAAGTTTTCTGACCCTGGACAGCCCATGGTGAGTACTGGGTCTCAGCCTAATAGAGAGAGTCCAGCCCCCATCATCCGGGTCCACTTGAACTGCGTGCGCACTGTGGTCTTGCTTTTGTCTTCAAGTACCTCACACGCTTCTTATGAAAGCTCGTGTGTGAGGCAGGGCGCGTTTTCACAGGAGCTAAGGTTCTACCTTGAGGAAATGACTGCAGAATCTGGGTCCCACTGATGGGTGCTTGTCACAGTCTTTATGGTGCCATGATGTGTGCGGCCCCATGCTGATGGGGTCTTCTCTGCCTGCCTCACCTCACTGAGAGGAGACCCTGCTCCTAGTCCCACGGACACTTGCCCGTGAACTGGGGCCGGGGCCTTGTCTGTTTCTGTGCTGCCCTTCTGGATGGATGGATGGATGGATGGAATGCCTGCGGGCGCCCAGCTCTGCCAGGAGGGAGCAGAGCGTCCCTTGGAGGCCGGAGGGTGTAGTGCTGCGTTACCTCTCAGCATCGTTTTCTCCATGGTCTCTCACCCTCCTTTCTCACCTGTGACCTGTCCGGGTCTGTGCACTGTCCCTTTTCTACTTTGGAGTGATCCTTCTGTCTTTTCCCCTCCTTTGCTCTTTCTTAGCCACCTGCTCTCAGGTTTTGCCCTTTCTCAGTCTTACTTGGAGAGCAGGCCCGGGCCACAGTGAGCCCCTGTGTTGCTGTCTCACTGGGAGGGACAGGTGCACTGTGGGGAGAGGGCAGGCTTTGCTCTGCTCCATAGCGCTTCACTCCTGTGAAGCCTGTTACGTTTTTCTTGTGAGTTGTTTGTGCTGTACTGCAGTCTATTAACGGTGCAAGTAGGTTTATGCAAAGGTTTGAAATATGGTGAGAATTAGAAAATAGAACAGATGTGACGTGAGTACTGACAGTGAGCAAGGACCGGGGGTACACGGCTGGAGTGTGCTCCAGACCACCTTTTCCTTCCTGTCACAGGCCTCCTTGACCTCCCTGGTGGTGGTTGTTATGTGCCATCGAGTCACTTGCAACTCATAGCGACCCTATATACAGCAGTCCTAAACTCTGCTCTGTCCTGTGCCTATTGCACTGTCTCCAACACACCCATCCCGATTACCCCAGTTACTGAATCAATCCACCTCATAGAGGGCCTTCCCCTCCTGCGCTGTCCCTCCACCCTCCCAAGCATGATGTCCCTCTGCGAGGAGCAGCCCGGTTTAACCCTCTCCAGGATGAATGTTTGTTCTCCTAGCAGTCCATGGTACCCTCAATACTCTTCTCCAGCACCACAGCTCAAAGGCATCAATTTTCCTTCTATCCCCCCAGTCATTGTCCAACTCTGTGACGCACAACAAGTGATTGTACGTGTCTATATTTTGTACACACGTGCCTATTTTAAGAACTTGGAACTGTGGTGTGCACAGTTTACACTGCCTTTTCACTTAATATAGGAGGAGGTGATACTTGAGGCCGCAGAGTTCTTAATACCTTTATTGGCTGTAAAATGTTTTGTTTGATGACTGACATTCCCCGACATGCCCCATATACTCTAATTGTACACGACAGGTGCACTTTTACTCCGCTCTGCTCACGTTGCAGGTGGCTTCTGTAGTTTGAATTTCTTTTAAAGCAGCTATAGGTCAAGGGAGTGAACGGTGTATGGCCACAGATTGTTTTTCTGTTAACAGTATCTTTTTAATAATAAACCACTTTTACAGTTTGTCTTGAAATAATTTCACACTGAGAGCAAAAGAGGACCGTTTCCACTCGTGCAGAGCGTCCCCTGTGCCTGTACCCCAGCTCCGCGCTTGTCTGTGCAGCCTCAAGGTGGCACTTGAGAGGGGCCAGGATGTCACTGTTTACGTCTCTAACTACTGTTGAGACTAGACTTGGTTTTGGGTTGGGTAGAGTTTTGAGTTTGGGATGGTGGAGTATGTTAGGATTTTGCTCTTGTGAATGTTTCATTAGAAATATTGGGACTAGTGGACCCCTTGAACGTCCACCTCTACAACCTAGGACCAGAAGAACTAAGGGTGCCTGGCTACCACTGCTTACAACAGTGGTCACCCGGAGAAGGTCCTGTACAGAGTGAATGGATAAGAGGAATGTACTGAAAAACAAAAATGGCCAGCCTTCCTGGTCCAGTGGGCACTGATTGATTGAACCCCTAGTGCCCTTAGTCCCCTTCAAACCCGGATCAAGGTGAAGCCCTGTGGATCACCTTTCAGCCAAATAACAGACAGGCCTGTGACATGAGGGCGGTGCCCACTCCTTAGTGTAGCCAGTCAGAGGATGTCGTGAGAGCCGCGTTTGCCTAGGGGTAGTGCTCATTGGGCAGGGAGGGGGCATAGCAGGATCAGCGGAACCAAGAGTCCATGGACACGAGCACCTACCTGTGGACATTGTAATCGATGTTAGGAAACAACGTGCATTAATGGTTGAAAGTAGTTTTGTTCTATAAATTAACTCGATGATGTGAGGAAGGTTTTCAAAGTCTCTCAATTTTTTCCAGCTGTCGTTGTTGTTGATCGCCTTCCTGTCGAGCACGACTCATAGCGACCCTGTGAATAAAAGACCTCAAGCCCCTCTACAGCTAACGACATTCATCAGTGTGCATAGAGTTTCCAGAGGCATGTTGTTTGCTTCCAGTTTTCCAGCTGATAGTAAATATAGCCGGTGCTTAACAAGCACTACCTGTCTGTAAACCTAGATAAATACTTGGGGATTTTTTGGAGAAAACAAGTACTCTTTGCATTTGAAACTAATTCCAGAGAATCAAACGTCACTTAAAGCAGAGCTGGGATTTGAACCCAGGCTGTGTGGCCAAGAGTCAGTTTTGACCACCATGATAGTGGACAGTGTATAATCTGACTGCTTCTTTGTTGTTTGCGGTTGTGTTTGTTTTGTTTGTGTGTCTGTGTGTTTTTCTTGTTGTGTACCGTGGAATCAGATCCAGCTGGCACAGGAGGAGATCGCTCCTCCTTCTCCAGTGGAGCATCTGGTGGATTCGAACCGTGTGCCTTTGGGATTGCAGTGCAGCTTCTTGTCCCTAGGCATCCAGAGCTCCTGTGCTGCTTTGTTTTGAGCAGAGTCCAGACTCAGGTATTTGTCCAGGTGGCTTCCTGAGCAGAGATTTCAGAATGTAATCCTGGGGTCAGAGAAAACTCATTGCCATTGAGTTGCAATCAGCTGACCCTTTAGAAGGTTTTTGACGCTGTAAATTGCAAAGGAGGAGTGTGCCCATTTTTCTTCTTGGAGCCACTAGGAGATTTGAACCACCAAAGAGGCACTAACTTTGGGTTTGAAGGTACCCTTTTTATTTGCTTCTTTTTCGGTTCAGATCTTTTTTTGTTGTGACAATTCCTTATCGCAGTGGCTCCTCATCTGTGAGAATAGAGCTGTGTGGGCACCTTTGTGTTTCCATGTTGCCAGAGCTACACCTGGTGTCGCAAACTGCCGCCCTCTCCCAGTGCACGTTACTCTGCCTGAGCCACTTCCTATGTAGTTAGGCTTTGCATCCATCTGATTTGTTGACCATCTGGTTTTGTGTGTGGTCTCTGTACTTCCTGTGCATCCTCTCTGTGTGACTCTCTCAGACTTGTCAGTGCTTTGAACAGGGCTTTGTAAGGGAGCAATGGCCTTGTGGCCATTCGAGGTCTGAGGAGGCCTTGCTCTCCTTTCCCTACAGTTTTCAGAGATGAGAATAGGTGTGCTGTCAGACAGACGAGGCCCAGTTTCTCCTCCTAGGTCCCCAGTTTAGTGGTCACCTCTACTTCCTCCTGGTGGGAACTGGGGAAGCAGCAGATAGGAGCTGGGAGGAGGTCTCCTGAGCTCAGGTGTGACAGAGCTGTGTCCGCCTGGTGCTTGGTCTTGGCCTCATGATGGCAGGTTTCACTGTGAGATACGGGTTCTGATGTAGTCAGAGCTGCCGAGCGTGGAGGACACGCTGCCTAGAGCTGGTTGCTGCTTACTGGTACTTACCGAAGTTTGTGTTTTCAGTCTTTTGTATTAGAATTCCACTTTGAACCCAACGACTACTTCACCAATTCAGTCCTGACGAAAACGTACAAGATGAAGTCTGAGCCTGACCAGGCTGATCCTTTTTCCTTCGAAGGCCCTGAGATTGTTGACTGTGACGGGTAAGAAAGGGTGTTGGAATTCATAGTTGAGATAGAGGGAAAAAAAGAAAAGCAAAATGTCTTTCATTTACCCAGTGTTTTAAAAAACCAACTCTAAGCCCATCCAGTCTCAGAAACCCTCCCCCAGGTGTCTCAAGATTTGAATCTTAGTAGGAAAGGACTACGTGCCTTTCTCCTGCTGAAAGGCTTTGAACTCTTAGCTCTTTGATAAGCAACACAATATCTGCACCAGCAGACAAAGATAAAAATTAATCCTCTGGACGGGACAGAAGAGTGGCTGGTGCCCTTGCTGGGTGAGGATGTTGCGTGGTCTCTGGACCCGAGTACAGTTCTGATCATCAAGCCAACCAGTTTCCCCACCCGATGGGGCTGGGCAGCGGCACAGGCCGCCAGCCATGCGGGACAGTACTGACCAGTGGCTGGCACTGCACATTGTACGGCGCGCCACCATAGTGCTTTCTGTCTCCACTGGTCACCAGGTAGGGCTTAGCCCAGAAGTCATTCTTCTTGATTGACTTGAGGCTACTCAGAGTGTTGTCTGTGGAGTTAAACAGTCTTTATTCACCTCCACCAACCACTGAGCTGTCCCCTTTATGTGCCTCAGACATCAGTAAGACCCAGGTGGATGCCAGTGGTGAGGTCACTGTGAAGGGCATCTTGTGACAAAGGGTGGTCGGAGTAGCTTCTGTTCTGATGGGCCCGGGTTCTGGGCCGATGCCCCTCCCAGAGCTCTGCTTACTTAGCATGCTGGGACTGGCGGGCGCTGCTTGCAGCTGGCCACCGTCTCTCTTCTTGCACTTGTACTGTTCAAGGAGTGGGCTTGGCTTGGCCTTGCTCTGGCAGACCACTCACCAGCACACTGTTGAGGTGTCTCACGACATGAGTTCCCTCGTGCTCACTGCCAGCTGACGTCTGTAGACTGGCTGAGGCTGTCTTGCCAGGCTGACTGGGGGCAGTTCTTCAGCTTCCCATGGAGCTGTGGGCTGTGTGTCCATGACCTGTCCTCTGTCTTTGCAGGTGCACCATTGACTGGAAGAAAGGAAAAAATGTCACTGTTAAAACCATCAAAAAAAAGCAGAAACACAAGGGTCGAGGCACCGTCCGAACAATTACTAAACAAGTGCCCAACGATTCCTTTTTCAACTTCTTCAGCCCGCTGAAAGGTGTGTGCATGAGCTGTGTGTGCCAGGCAGGTACCTGAGGAGAAGCCCTCACTGATGGGGTCCCTCTTCTCTGCTGCCAGTGGAGGCAGGGGCCATGTGTGGGGCGCGGACACACAGGGAGGGGACAGGACACCTGTAGTGAAGACTGCCCAGTGTGTAGAGTAATCAGGGCACAGGAACTGCCCTTTAAACAAGAAAAGGCAGCTGAGGTGCGTACCACTTGCCCTGCACCTGCATCTGGGAGATCCCGTGGCTCCACTTACCTCTTCTTTGTTCGCCTCCCTGGGTGCTCCTGCATCTTTGTCACTAGTGCCACATTTAGCACCCCCCACATCTGGAAGTTTCTTTCTCCGTTAGGACTCCAAGCTAGCCCTTGTGTCTGTCCATAGAGACCTGTGCTGGCCGGTGTGTGTCATGGCGGAGCTGTGCACGGCTGGGACCATTTGAAGCGTAATCTCCAGGCTTGTGTTCTCCAGGGCTCTGGGTGGGTTCCAGATGCCAGACTCTGGGCTGCTCAAACTCCTTGGGACTTCTATTTTGATGAAGAAACAAGTTGTTGGACTTTCATTTTTGGAAACTCTGTCAGTAGGAAATGTGTGTTTACGAGTTTTTCCCCCTTTTACGTCCCCCCCCCCACATTTAAGTCGATTAAAGATGAGACTTTTTTAAGCCAAGAAAAGTTGAGCAAATGACTTTGAGAGTAAATTATTTCTGAGTGTTGAAATAATTTTCTAATTATTAAAGAATACTGAAAGTGTTAGTGTTGTATTTGAGAGAGAGATTTCCTCAGCTAGAAGTAGTTAACATTTGGTTTGTTCTGAGAAAACAAAGAATGTAAAAAGAACAGGATGGCAGTGGGGGAAAGGACAGTGAGCTAAGAAGAGTCAGAAGTGAGGACATCTTACACAGTAGCTAGCCTGCCCCTATTTTTCCCTATAAGACAGACCTTTTGGTGACGCCTTAACCACAGCCAGTGGCCTTGGAGACCCTGTCATATGTTAACTGTTTGTTTCAGCCTTGCCCTAAACCTGTGTGTTAGATTACCTGGGTGGTGGTCTCGGCCAGCTCTGCAGACTGCCCAGGGAGGACCACTCTCCTGACTCCAGTGAAGACAGGAGAGCTTCGTTCCTCGGCGTCTGCATCCGCAGCACTCTGCTGGAGGTCTCATGCCAGGACGTCTGGGACTTCCTCAGCTCCCAGCCCCTGCCAAGCCAGCATCTTACAGCAGACACTCAGGTCCAGAACCTCCAGCCTTCTGGTCCACTGTAGTGTCACAGTTTGGTTAGGTGTTGCTGTCATACCTTAAGGGGCCATAGTGGAACATTCTCCCCGTCCTGGGGTGTGCGTTAATATGTAGGTAAGGGTATGTGAATACTAGGACTGTGTGTGGGAACGCCTTGCTTCCCACTGGCAGTGCTTTGTTACTCTTGTGGGTAGGTCATGTTGATTTCACCTAGGAGGGACTCTGTGGACAACAGATCCAGACCTTATCCTGTCATGTGCCGTCTCCACGGGGCTCGAGCCCAGCTCATCGAGGGTCTTCCTCTCTTTCACTGACCTTACGAGGTGGCGCCCACTTGTTAAGTGCTCATGGTGACCCCTTGTACAAGAGGCTGGAGCGCTGTCCAGTCCTGTGACATCTTCACAGTCTGCAGTGCTTGCCCCCGTCTTTTAACGCCACTGTGTCGTTTATGGTTTTTCACTCTGAGAGTGCCATTCATCATCACACGACAGTGCTACCTCCTGAAATAGTCGCGTGTCACCTTGTCTTACCTTCACAGTGACTGTGCACTTCTGCCTTCCGTGGTGCTCCCTGCCGTATTGACCATGTTGTCCATGGAGTCCTTACTGCAACTTGAGGTTATTTCTTTGAGTTTGATGGTTCCTGGTGTATTTATTACCCCTTTCAGTCTTGAAATTACATACTGTGGTAGTACTTCGCTTTCTTAAACTGCCCTTTGGGATCTTAATGCTGGGCTTTTTATGTCACCATTTCTTTGTTTTCTTCGGTTGCTTTGTTGATTGTTCAAGTAAAATGAAGTTGTCCATCTACCGTGATAACTGCTTGGTGGTCCAGTTGTGAGAAGTTTTGCTTATGAGAATATAACTCCGTAGCCTATTTGGTCTTGGTGATGGTTGTTCTTGTTGATTGCCTCCAAACCGAGCACGGCTCATAGCGACCCTCTGAGCAAAAGTCCCATCGTCCTTCTACAGCGTCGGCATTCACTCAAGTTCATGGAGCTTCCAGAGGCATGTTGCTTAGGAAGGGGATGCCACTAGTTTTCCTGATTTCCTGACTGCTGGTACCAAGGGTGTGAATTGTGGATCTAAGTAAGATGAAGTTGACAGTTTGAATCTTTTCTCCATCTGTCATGATGTTGCCTATTGTACCAGTGGTAAGAATTTTTATTTTCTTGATGTTAAAATGTATTTCTTAGTAAAGGCTGTATCCTTTGATCTTCTGCAACATGTGTTTCAAGTCCTCCTCACTTTTCAGCAGGCAAGATTGTATCTTCATAACATACATTATTGATGGTGTTCCTTTGATTTTGACACCATATTTTTCTTCATAGGGTCCAGCTTCTTGAATAGTTTGTTTAGCCTACAGATTGAATACGTATGGAGAGCGAGTACAACCCTGACTCGTCTCATTCTTAATTTTAAATGGTGCAGTGCTCCCTTGCTCTGTTCATACAAGAGCCTCCTCGTCCAGGAGTAGGTTCCGCATGAGCACATGTAAGTGCTCTTTCAGTGTCAGCCGTGACTTGTCATAATCCACACAGTCGGGTGCCTTTGCATAGTTAATAAGGCACAAAAAGACATTCTTTTCATATTACTTGCTTTCAGCCAGGAGCCGTCTGATGTCAGCAGTGACATCCCTGGTGCCACAGCCCCTTGGAAATGATAGTTGTTTGATAGTTTCCACATTCTGTTGGGTCACCTTTCTTGGGAATAGGAATAATGAACGTCTTTCCATCCATTGGCTAGACGGCTGTCCTCCAGATTTCCTGTCACAGAGCGGTGAACACACCCAGGGCTGCGTCATAATTGAGACAAGTCACTTGGTGTCCCGTCGATCCTGGGGCCTTATTTTGCCAGTTCTTTCAGTGCAGCTTCACCTTCGCCTTCATTGTTGATATGGTACATCCTGAAATGTTTCCGTATTTGTCAGGTCTTTTTGATACAGTGACTCTTGTGTTCCCTCCATCTTCCGATGCTTCCTGGATCATTCAGGATATTGCCCATCGCATCTTTCAGTATTGGGACCCAAGTCTAAATTTGTTTTTCAAGTCTCTAAGCTTGAGAAATGCAAAGCCTGTTCTTTTCTCTTTCTTTTCCAATTCCAGCTTTCTGCACCACATTCCCTATAATACTTGATCTGCCCTTTGAAATCTTTTGTTCAAAGACTGTATGTTCAGGGATCATTTTTAGAGTTTATTATTAGAGAAATTTCTCTGATCATGTGGAGCCCTGAAATCTTTTACTTTGGCATGAAAAAGGGGGCCCGTATGAGTGCTGCGGGCCTCAGATCCTAACCCATTTTCGATGCTCCTCTCATGGGGAATGAGTATTTTCTGTCAGTGATAACAACATGAACTTCAAGATCGTCTTGGTGGATTTTTTTTTTTTAATTTTTTTATTTTATTGTTTGTATGTGTTCCGTCAAATTGGATCTGACTGGTACAGGAGGAGACTGTCCCTCCTCCAGTAGAGCATCTGGTGGATTTGAACCGCGCACCTCTGAGATTGCAGTTTTGTTGGGGGTTTTTGTTTTGTTTTGTTTTGTTTTTGTTTTTGTTTTTTAAGGACTGCAGTGTCATTCCTCTTCGGTCTGCTCCTGCGTGCTGATGTTGTGTACCCAGTCAGAACCCACCCATCGTGACCCTCCAGTGGGTTTTCAGAGGCTGTAACCGCACTAGAAGAGATGGCCCAGCTTTTTCCTGTGGGGCGGCTCATGGGGTCAGACCACATACCTTTGTATCGGCAGTGCAGCTCCTTACCAGCAGAGCTCTCTGCCAGGAGATCATGACTCTCATTCAAGGAGTGGTGCTGACCCATCTATTGAACTCACTGGTGCACTGCAGATATTTCGCTTCGTTTTTAACAGCTTCCCTCAACTTCCCACACCTTGTCCTAATCATTACTGCATATTTGCAGCTGTCTCTTCTCATTTTGAGTCCGAACACGTCAACATCTCAAGCCCTCCAGATCATTGAGGCACAATCAGATCCCAGGACCAGTTCTGCGTCCCCCTGGGGATGATGGTCCTGATGGCCCTCGGAGAGCCATAGTCAAGCACTTTGTTGTGAAAAAGCTCAATGATTAAATGGCCCCATTTTAATGTGTGCTGTCTATTTGGACTAATACTGAATATTTTGGCTTTCCATATAATACGTTTTCCATATTTTTTACAGCTTCTGGCGATGGAGAATCACTGGTAAGATTTAATGTCTCGATGGTCTTATTTTCCTACACATTCTTTGTGTCGTGAGTATTCGTCTAGTTTTAAAAATCCATTCTTGCTCTCTAAAACCTGGCATGAGTTTATACTTACTGTGCCCGTTGGTTGGAGACACTATGAACGTCTACCCTGTTTGGGGTCTCAGAACCCCTCTTCTTGGGCCCTCCTGCTTCTGGTCCTGCCTGCTTTTCTTCAGTGCTCTGCTGCAGTGGTTTTTGTACAGATATTTTGTACAGCTGTTAGTACTTGACAGTTTGGAAGTCAGGTAACCAGAGATGTGAGGGGAAGGTGGGGAAGGGACAGATGGGATGCCGAGCCCGTAACTTAGCTCCCCCCCAGGATGAAGATTCTGAGTTCACCTTGGCCTCTGACTTTGAGATCGGACACTTCTTCCGCGAGAGGATAGTGCCCCGAGCGGTGCTGTACTTCACCGGGGAAGCCATCGAGGACGATGACAACGTACGTGCACATGGGCTCAGGGTGCAGTGTGAGCATTCTGGGTTGCTCTTGGGAGATTGGTAGGATGTGGGCTGGGGGAAGGTGCCCTAGTGGTGCAGGGGTTAAGTGCTTTGCTGGCTCACTGTGACTCCACCTGCCACTCCACTAGATAAGTACTTGGTGCTCTGCCTGTGAAGATGACAGCTTTGGAACCTGGTGAGACAATTCTCTGTCCCACGGGGTCATGATGAGTCATTCAGTGTTGACAGTGCCCAACAGGAGAATAGGGAAGACCGTCTTAGAAACAAGCTGAAGTAGATCTTGTAGTTCTCTGTACCCGGGTCTCCTCACTGCTCCTGTGCCACCTATCATGGTGTTGTCTGCGACCCTAGGGACCCATGTGCACACTCTGAGTAGCAAGGCCAGTTGGGCCTGGAGGTGTCACCTGTGAAGATCTGGCCATGCTCTGCAGCCAGCCCCCTCAGTCCCCATCAGCAGTGAGAGAATTCGTGCCAGTCTGTGCGAGCAGTGCTGGGGGTCAGACCATTATAGCTCTCATTCACTGGCCTGCCCGGCTCGTGGCCACACATTGGAAAGTGGTCTCAAACTCCTGTGATATCTCCACCCACCAATTTAAAAAGGGAGTGTGCCTTGCATGCATACAGGGACCCTGCATTTGTTGTGCTTACCAGCTCAGTTAGAAAGCACAGGGGAATGCCTGCTTGCCTGCCTGCATTGGGTCGGTAAGCACGAACAGGCAGGACAAGGGTGCATGTCCCCACAAAGACCCAGGGACATGTCCGTGTACCCGACTCTTACCTGGGATGACTGTCAGGTCCTCAGGACCTGGGCAGCCTGTCAGGTCCTCAGGACCTGGGCAGCCTGTCCAGCGTGAACGGGGAGCTGTGTCAGATTTAGGTGCTGGCAAGTTGGAGAAACCTAAAGATTTGTTGTTTGTTTTGTCTTGTTTTTTCTTTTCCTTCAGTTTGAAGAAGGCGAGGAGGGAGAAGAGGAGGTAAGAAAGGGGTTGCGTGAAGCCTTGTCCTGCTCCTTCAGCAAGGAGCCTGTGGCAGGAGGGCCGGCCTCGTTTGTTGGACTGTATGCTTTCTCACTTCTCTGGAAAAGCTGGATGACAGTGGTTGTCATTTTGTACTGCAGAGTTGGTCTTTGAAAAGGTATCTTTAAAAAATAGTAACTCAGCAGACAAAATTAGTGTCCCCTCCAAAAACAGTGTTCACTTCAGGATTGTCTGTAACAACAAAAATCTCTTACCTGCTTCGCCCCACTTTGAGTGCTTGGGGCCAACTTCTTCCTTTCTTCTTATCTTCCGCTGCCACCTAGCTCCAGATATAACCGACATCATGTGCTTCAGAGACCTCAAGACCACCACCGGCCTCCAGGTCCTCAGTGATTACCTGGTCAGCAAGAGATCTATCGAGGGGTATGTGCCGCTGCAAGTAGATGTGGCAGTGTTTGAAGCCATCTCCAGCCCCCTACCTGCTGGAGGAGAAAAAGGCCAGCCTGGCAGGACTGAAGAAAGCTGTGGGTAAATATGGCCCTGCTGGAAGGAATATACTGAGTCATTGGATCGAAAGGAATTGGCAGATACAGAAGAATTTAATGAAATAACATTTGATCAAGAGCCTATGGTGATGAAGGAAGAAGTTCAAGCTGCTTTGAAGGAAATAGCAGAAAATAAGGCCCCAGGAATAGATGGTATACCAGTTGACATGTTTCAGCTAACAAATGCTGCCCTGGATGTACTCACCAAGTTGTGCCAAGAAATCTGGAGAACAACCACTTGGCCAACTGACTGGAAGAGGTAGGTCTATATTTGTTCCCATTCCAAAGAAGGGTGACCCAGCA